GTGCAGACAGATTTTGTATCTTTTAGGTTGTAATTATGGGAGAGATTTGAGTTTATGTGGGTGGTGGAAGCATATAAAATTAAGAGCTTGAGTTAGGTACATCTTTGTAGCTCCATTTAACGTCTTAGGGTGGTGGTTGTCACACGTGGTCTCAAGACCAGCAGCGTCAGCATCACGTGGAACTTGTTAGAAATGCAAATTCTCAAGCCGGGCAATCCTGTTTTTAAAGGCCCTCTAGGAGATTCTGATACACACTAAAGTCTAAGAACCATTGTCCTAGGAGGAGTGGCTTTGCTACACCTAGAATACCTCCTCCAAGTGATCAGTAAGTGAAGAGAAACCCACTGCCCAAGAGAGAGACTTCTGTGTGGAATCAGTGGGACTGCTTAAAGGGGGGTACTTTGTATTTCCCATATGATGTGTGAAGGCTTTTGTTTATGTGGCCTATTTATTTTTCTATTCGCTAAGATATTATACTGAATCATAAGTAATTGAATGAAAGTTTCATGTTGAAAAATATGGAAGAACCTCATTATAATAACTTGTTTTTATACTAATATGAGTCAAATTACAATTACTGAAAACATAACTACATCGTAATTGGTCAAAATAAAACAATTAATAAGGCAAATTATCTGCTCCCCAAGTCAGCTTTCTAAGAATAGTTTCTCTTAATAGTAACTCCTTGTATTTACCTCCAGTTGGACTTACCCATTTACCCTTACAAGATTCTGTGAGGCAAAGCCAGGTGAAGTGGCTGCCCAATATGTAGATTACTGATGTAGATATGGAATAGAATTCATCCTATATTCCACAGTAATTTTATAGTTAAATTAGTCCACATTCTAATCCTGCCTCTGATACTTATTCTCTGTGTACCTTGAGTAAACTCTTTGAGCCTTGTTTTCTTTATCTATAAAATAGTGAGGATTGAAATATGTGAAGTGCCTAGCACAGGGCTTGGTTCATGTTCTTTTTGCCCCCTAGTCATTATATTGATCATCATTTCCTCTTTTATTTTACAGCTGGAAGCATTTGGTAATTTTTTTGTGAAAGATGGTTGTAAGACATTGAAATTTTTGTACCAGGAAGGAGATGTACCTGGCGTAGGTAAGGATATTTTACAAGGATAATGTGTGAGCAATGAGTTAGTAAACGTTAAAGTGCTATATATTTTTCCTTTTATACATACATAATCCTATATTTATAAAGAGGATATTACCAGAAACTTACATGTAAATAAATATATTAAGAAACAATGTAATTTCAGCCCAAATATATATTTCAAACATTACTATAATAATTTAAGGAGAAGACATTTCATATAGAAACTGTTGACTTCTTCAAGGGATCCTCACTGGAGTTTAATTGCATTTTCCCTGAAACAGGTGGAGTCATTTTTAAACATATTTTCAGATGAGTAGAAATAGTCTTGAAACCACTCCAGAGGCCAGCAGCTGCCCTCTGTGGTACTGGGTCAGCATCTTGTGCCTGCTGCAGCTGACAGTTGGAATATCTAGCTTTACAAACAAACAAACAACCAATTGTGGTTGAGTCAACTCATGGCGACCCCATATGTGTCAGAGTAGAACTGTGCTCTGTAGGGTTTTCGGTGGCTGATTTTTTGGGAGTAGATTGCAGTGCCTTTCTTCAGAAGTGCCTCTGGGTGGACTTGAACCTCCAAACTTTCAGTTAGTTGCCAAGTGTGGTAACTATTTGTACCACCCAAGGGCACACATTATTCCTAAAATGATTAACCGGGTTTGTTAAACTTTTGCCTTAATAACTAGGGTACATCAGCCATCCTTTTGGTCTTAGACTACTTAGTTTCTAAGTCCTTTGGATTTTACCTTCAACATGTCCCTCCTATTGGTTTTTTCTCCCCTGCTGCCTTAGGCTAGGCCCGTAGCTCATGCCTACCGTAGTATTCCAGATTGAAAACCAATCTTCCTTGTTAGCAGATTCTCACTACTTATTCCTGCCAAGTAAATATTTTATTGTCCTGCTATTTATTGGGTTGGCCTCATACCCCTCATTTATCTATTAAGGCCTCCTCATAATCTGGACACACAGTACTTATCTAGTCTGATCTACTATCCTCCCAATCGTGAAGCTGCTGCTCCCTGTAAGCCAATGTCTTCATTGTTTTCTGGACATAACCAGAGTCATTTCTGTGCTCATTTCCTTGCTCTCCTGACTCTCTCAGAATGCCTTTCCACCCAGCCAAACCCCACCCCTCCTTCTGGATCACCTCATGCATTTTCTTTTCTACAGAGCCTTCCCAGAGTATTCCAACCCACATCAATCACTATTCTCGAAACTCCTGTCTCATTTCAAGTTTGCATCATAAAATACAGAACTTTATTATATTCTTTTACTTTTATCTAAATATTTAATATATGTAAGTTTTGCTTCCCCAACAAAATCTGCAAACTCATGGTTAGTGATTAAACTGCTCTATGGATTTTCTGTCTCTCACAATTCTTATCCTGAGGAGATTGTTTCCCTGTTTTCATAACTTGTTTAAAAAAAGCTGAAAATCATAGAAAAAATAAGAAAATGTCTACAATTAGAAGAAAAATAAAAGCCAGTCATAGTCCCACTCACTCAGAGGAAGCACTGTTAACTCCTTGATGAATAGCCCTCTATAGCCTCTTTGGTATATATGCATATTTTACAAAAATGGGATCCATCTCCAGGAGAAGAGTCCCATTACATAGAGGACAGTAACCCACCCCATAGTTTGCAGGTGTTGGGGTGGCCAAGAAAGACACAACTCACACACAGGCATTGGATGGAACAACACTTTACTTACACAGCGAAGAAACAGAACAAGGTCAGCTTCAATAGTGGGCATCAGTCCCCTATGGCCTATGGATCTTGTTCTGCAGCTGATGCAGGGAGGTAGTCTTCGTGTACTCCTATTGTGCTGCAGGAGAAGGACCCCATTCCTTTCCTGCTGAGAACAGATACAGACGTGGGGTTGGCCAGGTGCCGTATAACGCACACACTTAGTAAAGCAGTTCCTGGGAATGCTGACATGCGCTCAGGGCAAGAGAGGTAGGATGTGCTGATAGTCCACCAGCTGCTTTGGGATATGTTTTGGGTCAGGATACCCCAGAAAGGGGGTTAGCCCATGTCCATATCCTGTTCAAGAAGTCAGGCTAACACACCTGGTCCTAAGCACAGGTTCATTTGTGGGACACAGGGAAAGGCAGTAGACTGCACTTGGACTGCCCCCTTCCACAGTAACAAAGGGAAGAAATGTGTGATTTTCTAGAACAACTGCATGTATAGTTCCTTAGTGCTGAAAATATAGCCACAGCATTATATTTAAGAATTGCAGTTATTGCCATCTTTTTATAGACAACAAAATTTATTCCAATACCACATTGAAAACCTATTACAATAAAGTAAAACAAGAAACAGTGGTGTCAGGGTCACAGTTATTTATCACAAAAGTTTTGACTTTTCTTTTCAGAATGTGGTCGAACTATTGCTGGAGTAACCAAAGGAGCAAAAATGATGAGACTGTATGTAGACAGCGCAGCCCCGGAGAAATTAAAAGGAGTGTGTGTATTTTTTGTTCGCTGTCGCAATGATGTTGCTATAAATATGAAAAACATTCATGAGGCAGGTTTAAACATTTTCTCCAAATTGATTGTATTTTCACAGTCACATTTTTACTTTACTTTTCTCTCCCTTTTTATATATAGGACTGAATTATGTTCCATGAAAATAATATATTCACATATTCAAACAAACTGAGATATTAGCTATAATAGAATTTAGTGATATCTATCCTTTAGATGCTGTTGTTGTTGCCATTTAGTCAACTCTGAGTCATAGCTGCCCCATGCACAATGGAATGAAATCCTGCCTGGTCCTGTGACATCCTCATGGTCAGATGTGGATCGGGCAGTGCTCCGTTGTGACCTATCAAGTTTTCACTGGATGATTTTTGGAAGTAGATTGCCAGGCCATTCTTCCTAGTCTGTTATTTAGATATTGCTTTTTAAATTCATCAAAATCTCATTTCTGATGGTGTGCTAATAGTTTCCATTCTTTTATTTCCTAGGAACACATTTGATTTTGTTCATATGATATTAAGTATGTATTAGTTTTTTTTACCATCCTCTTCACTCAGTATTTTAACTCTTTAATGGTTTTGGGAAGGCAGGATGGCAGAAGGGAAAAAATGGGAATTTTTAGAGCTGAATTTGCCTCTTAGCTTCACCACAGACTAGTGGTGTATGCTTTCTGAGAGGTCTCTACATTTTTAAATTGGGAATAGTAATACACACCTTGCATGGTTGTTCTGAGACTAAATCATAATATAAGAAAATTGTGACTCTATTACCTGACACACAGTAGGTCCTCAACAAATATTAGTTCTTTTTATTATTCCTAGAAGATCTCAATACCTTTTACAATGAGAATGATAACTGAAATCCAATCTAATTTTGTTGTTATTCTGCTTCTGATAAAAGACTGATTTAAGAGAGGTTGCTTAGCTTGGTTTAGGATTCTAGGTTGGCAGTTATTTTCCCCTGACTCTTTGTAGATATTTTATTGTCTTCTAGTATCTCTTCTGGCTGATGAGACCTCTGCTGTTAGTGTAATTCTTCTTTCATAGGTAATTTGTCTTTTCTATTTGCTTTTGCTCATTGTCTTTGAAGTTCAGCAGTTTCACTATGACGTCTTTATTTGCGGATGTGTTTCCTCAGTCTTCCATTTCACTTCCTCGATCTATCTTCCACTTCACTAATTCTCTGTTTAACTTGTCTATCCTATATTTTAATCCATTGCTGTTTTAAAAATTTAGTTTTTATTTTATCACAGTTATATATGCTCATAGTTCAAAGAAAGTTGTTGTTGTTGTTAGTTGCAATTGAGTAAGCGCTGGCTGATTCATGGTGACCTTATGTATCACAGAATGAAACATTGCCTGGTCCTGCACCATCTTCATGATCAGTTAATCTCATCTTCCAGCACTATGTTAGATAATGTTCTTTGGTGCTTCTAGGGTTTTCCTTGGCTGATTTTCAGAAGTAGATCAACAGGTCTTTCTTCCTAGTCTGTCTTAGTCTGGAAGCTCCACTAAAACCAGTCATCCTGGGTGACCCTGCTGGTATTTGAAATACTGGTGGTGTAGCTTCCAGCATCACAGCAACATGCAAGCCTCCACAGCATGACAAATTGACAGATGGGTGGTGGATAAAGAAAGTAGAGGTTCTGTTAAGTGTTCTCATTGGATTGGTATTTGGCTGATGTTGCAGAATCAAGGCACAATTAAGACAATGGCATGAAACTGTACTAGTAGTCACTGTATTCTTTACTGCCACACACTTTCAGCTACCAAAAGCAGAACAATTTTTAGTAGTCCTGGACAAACTTTTCATGTTAATTTCTTGGCTTGGGATTTCTATATCACTTAATTAGTATTAACTTAGATTCACAATTATGGTGGGTGGGCTTCTGATTTCTTGTGGCTGATCATTTTTTCCATCCAAAATTCTGGACAGAAGACTAGTTTATCATTGCTAGTTCCCTGGCTTGATAAGAGTTTTTTTCTGGTCTCCTTCTCATGGACAGGGCAACCTTTCAGCTGAGGACTTTTGTGTAGGCTCCAGGCCACATCTCCTTCCCTATGCAGAACTGAAAGCATGGAAGGAAGTGTCTCCTTGATGAACAAACATGTGAATGGTTAAAATGTTTATTGATTTTAGAACTCTAATTTGCACAACACTTAAGTTTCCCTGGTAGTTTCTAAAATGTATTAATTATCTATGTTTATGGTACGTAAAATAGATTATGATTTTCAGTTCTTTAATGGGATTAGCATATAAAATAACATTTGGATGCCACCCTTCCAGGAAGTGCTATTTACTGTTCTGGATGCAACGGAAGGACTCTTAATTGGAATTAGAAATATGTTGGCAAATGTATTTCTGCCAGCTATTCTTGCAACGAATAATTGGGGTGCTTTAAACCAGTCCAAACAAGGAGAGTCTGATAAACACGTATTCACTGAAACCATCAGCAGATACCTTTCATTTTTAGATGGTAAGTGTAAAATGTAATGTTAAGTAAATTACTAAAAATTTGCAAATTAACTATAAGATACATTATTAAAAATAAGCGTTAGAGAAAAAATTTTACATCTTAAAATAAGATGCTAACCAATGTAATTATGAGACCTAGAGGTAAGTTATCAAGTCATTAGAATCCCTCATTCCCAGAGATTTTAGCAGAACTAAAATATGTTTTATTTTTGTTTTCCATGATAGCAGGACGATTTTCCTCCTATATTCCAATCAAAAAACCAAGCCTGTTGCTGTTGAGTCGATTCCAACTTATAGTGACCCTACGGGACAGGGTAGAACTGCCCCCTAGTGTTTCTAAGGAGCAGCTGGTGGATTTGAATTGCTGGCATTTTGGTTATCAGCTGAGCTCTTAACCACTGCGCCACCAGTGCTCCAATCAGACCTGGTGCCAGTGAATCAATTCTGACCCATAGCGACTGTATAGGACAGAGTAGAACTGCCCCATAGGGTTTCCAAGGAGCGGCTGGTGGATTCAAACTGCTCGCCTTTTGATTAGCAGCCAAATGCTTAAACCACTGCGCCCCCAGGGCTCCAAAAATATCACCATATTTTAAAATATATACTTCGTTATTATCTACTTTGAAAACATAATCTTATTATTTTATATTGTTAAATTATACAATTTTATTAACAAATTATCTAGTAACAGTCTGATGTCCAATTAGAATTGTAGTATACTTCTGTAAAGCATTAGAGCTTTAAAATTTCCGTAGTTGCAGCTTGAAATGCCACATTGACATTTAGCATGTTGACATTAAATAACCATCTCTTTATTAACTTTTTTTTTTCCTTTTTAGGTGCTAGAATAAGTATAGAGGGAACAGTTAAGTTGAAGACGATAAGCAATGTTGATTTTACCAAATTACAGACCTTTGAAGAAGTAACAGCTGCAGCTGGCAATTCAGAAACTGTTCATCAGCTAGAGGACGTGCTGATGATATGGTACAAACAAATTGAACAGGTGGGCTAATCCAAGTAATTGTGTCAGATACGAGTCGTAGTTCTCATTGGTGTCCTAGCCATTGAATTTTGTCCCTAAAAGTAAAGGGAAGAATCTTCCAGACTCTCTTTCTTTCAGATACTGTTATGAACCTTGGTCTATTCCTGACTCTAGTGCTAAATCATTATTCTTTATGGACCACTTAAAATCAACTTTCAGGTAATTTCTCACTTTAAGGAGGAAACCATAACAAATACGGGTTGAGAATATAGCAGTGAAGAATCAAGAGTATCTAGCATTTATCCCCACTACTATATTTATTGTCTATCCTCTCCATATAAGAGAGAAAAAGGACAGAATTAAGAGAAGATATCTATAGTGCTAGACACTAAGTAAATATCTCATGGTTGATCAATGGCCTGTGTTGTCAAAGAGATTCAGACTAGCCTCATTCATATCAGTTCTATAGTAGCAAGTCTGCAGCTCTGTAGCCAAATAAATCTTCTCTAGCATAAGAAAAGCAGTGATAGGAATGGGGTATATGTCAGAATTATGAAAGGCTCTGACTCAGACTACAAACATAGCAAAAAAAACCAGATACTATATAATTGCTCTAAGCTGAAAGAGAACTCTAGTTGCCAGTTCACTGCTCTCTAGTTCCCTGAGCATGGGACAGTGGAACTAGAGAAGAAAGTCTTCAATTAAGTGAAAACTATAGGAGAAAAATCTTGAGCAAGCAAGGAATAGAGGAAAGCATCTCCTAATTTATCCCTCTGAGAATTATGCCAGTAGGACTGAAGTGCATTTTGAATTGTTAAAACTGGAGGGCTTTGGAAACTCCACCAAGACCTAGTGCCTCCAGATGTCACTTGGTAAATGAAGTAGGTAATTGCCCACCAGAGAATTCCTGCTGCCACCTAATATGCTGCTGGAGGAAGTTGTAACCCACTGTAGAAATCAAACCCTGTCCTACACAATGGCGGAGGAGACCCTCTGCAATTATTTTGAGCAATCAGTTTAGTTCTTCTTTATAAAAATGAGCAAGCAGAAGAAAATAACTAGACATAAGGAGACTGAGCAACCTGAAATAAGGAAACCAAGTTGAGCAATTGTAGCAAATGGCCTACAATTAATTAAGCAGAGTCAATGCAGGAAATGGGAGACATCTTTAAAAATATTACATCTCAAATAAAACTTGACCTCTTGCCATACATAAAAATTAATTCAAAATGGATAGGCATAAATAAGAAAACTAAAACTAGAGAACTTCTAGAAGAAAACATAGGAGAATATATCTTCATGACCCTAATATAGGCAAAGAGTTCTTAGACGTGACTCAAAAAGCATTAATCATGAAAGGAAATATCAATAAATTGGATTTCATAAAAAGTAAAAATGCCTGTTCATTAACAGATGCTATTTAAAAAGTGAAAAGGTAAGCCACAGACTGGGAAAAAGTATTTGTAGGACATATATCTGACAAAAGGCTTATATCTGGAATATATAAAGCCTTCCAATAAATAAACAATCAAAAGACTAACAACTCAATTTTTTTTAAATGGGCAAAACGTTTGGACAGACATTTACAAAGAAGATATCTAGATAAGCTTGTGAAAAAGTGCTCAACATCATTAGTTATAAGGGAAATGGAAAATTAAACCACAATGAGAGACCACTAAAATGGCTAAAAGGAAAGACTGTCATTCTCAAGTGTTAGTGAGGATGTGGAGAACTGGAACCCTCATACACTGCTGGTGGGAGTGTAACATGGTAGAACTTCATTAGAAAACCATTTAACAGTTTCTTATAGAATTAAGTATATAGCTACTCTGTGACCCAGCAGTTTCTATCCTAGCTATATACCCAATAAAAATAAAAATATGTGTCTTCTAAAGAGACTTATGCAGGAATGTTCATAGCAACCCTAATCATAATCATCAAACACTGGGAAACAATCCAAATGGAAAATAGATAAACAAATTGTGATATACTCATCCAGTGGAATATATACTGCAATTCAAAAGAAAGAACTACTGATCATGCAACACCATGTATAAATCTCAAAAACACGTTGAGTGAAAGAAGCCCATCTCAAAAAAGTGATGTTAAAAAGAACAAACTGTAAATGAACCAGAACACAATGTAGGAGTATTTCAATATCTTCTTAAGCAAGATACAAAGCTCAGAAGCCATCAGAGAAAAAACTGACAGATTTGACTATATGATAAAAATGTACAATTTCCATTTGGTAAAAACCACCATAAGCAATGTTTAAATGGCTTATTAGGCCTCTTCTTTGTTGAATTGCCCGTTTATATCCTTTGCCCAGTTTTCTTTTGGATTGCTTGATGTTATCTTATTGAATTGATGGAGTTTAAATACTATTTTCTGAATTTTTATCCTTTCTTGGGACCCCCTTGTGGTGTGTCTTTTCATTTGATATAATGCTTTTAGTCATGTGGACATTTAAATATTTAATGTAGTTAAATGTATTAATTGCAAATGGTAATCCTGCCTCAACTCGGATACCTCCATTGACTAGGAACCTTATGCTTTTTTGTATTTTCTTTAGGAAACCCTTTCCTACCCCAGTGTTATGAACATTGTTTCCTAAATTTTTAATGTTTTTTAAAATAGTGAAATAGATGGAAATGAACAAAATAAAAGAAACAAAGTGTTGTAAAATGAACACCTGTGTAACTCCTACACAAGTTAAGAAATAGAATATTATCAGCACCTTACAATCCCCCTTCATTCCTCTTCCCAATTCTAACTCCCTTTTGTTCCCCCTGGTGGTGTTGTGGTTAAGAGCTTGGATACTAACCAAAAGGTCGGCAGTTTGAATCCACCAGCAGCTCCTTGGAAATCCTATGGGGCAGTTCTACTCTGTCCTATAGGGTTGCTGTGAGTTGGAATTGACTCAACTACAATGGGTTTTTGTTCTCCCTAGTGGTAACCATTATCTTAACAATTATGATATTCAGTTCCATGCTTTACAGTTTTACCCCCATCACCTATATTTTCTTTTAGAAGTTTTACCATTTAGGTTTTTACTACTGGAATGATTATTGTTTTTGTATATGATGCGAGGTAAGAATCTAATTTCGTCTTTATAGTAGCCAATTGTCCCAGAACTTCTTCCTAACAAATTTATAATGTCACTTCTGTCATATACCAAGTTTCTAGACCTCTTTGACTGTTCCATTGATCTAGTTATTTGTTTTTGTAGTCATACTATGCTGTTTTAATTTCTATAGATTTTTATTATATCAGTATTTGGTATGGTAATTCTCTTTGTGTTTTTCTTCAAAATTGCATTGATTATTTTTGGTTTAATTGTCTTTCCAAATTAATTTTAACTTGAGCTTATCAAGTACTGTGAAAAACCTTATTGAGATTTTGATTGGAATTTTATTGAATATATAAATTAATTTAGGGAAAATTGCCAACTTTATATAATTGAATTTTTCCATCCATGAATATGTTATGTAATGCCGTTTATTTAGATCTTCTTTTGTGGAATTAAAGTATGTTTTCTTATTTTCGGAGACCTGGTAGTGTAGGTTAAAGAGCTCTGCTGCTAATCAAAGGGTTAACAGTCTGAATCCACCAGCCTCTCCTTGGAAACCTTTATGGGGCAGTTCTACTCTGTCCTATAGGGTTGCTATGAGTTGGAATCAACTTGATGGCAACGAGGGGGCGAGGGCCTTCTTGTTTTCTCTATAAAAATGTCTTG